AGTGGTTTTTAATTATTTATTCTTGAAATTGACTATATTTATAGCATTGTTAGTTTCGGTCAATTGTTTGGTACATACCCCGGCAAACTTCTTGAGTAATGACCATAGAGAAGGGATTTTATATACAAAAACGGCTACAACGCAAGTTCATATATGTATCTGTGGTTTTGCTCAAGTTTTTCGGTATATATACAATTGCTATTTGCATTGCAAAACCCATGAATGTATGCCCCGACAAAGTATGAATCACATTTAATCTTACGTCAGGCCATGTTGTCACGATTTCTTTGAAAAACTATTTAAGTGGGCTCTGTAACTTATACTTTCCCGCACCCTTCGCTATCCAACCGAATGCACTGACTATTATGCAACCGCGGCCCTGGTGGCCGAGTCGAATTTTCTCGAGTCTTAGGCTGCAAGACAGCGCCATCTCTTCGCATTATAGGTAGCCCACAATGTCAAAAGAATACCTTTACAAGTATTAAGTATTTGAAGGTTTATTAGCTATTGCTTCAATAGCTAATAAACCCTCCTTATAGTATTATTAATTATTTTTACAGCATTTCACAAGTGTTTAATTTTTTTCTAATAAAATTTTCTTTAGATTTAAACATCTTGCAGTTAAATGCTTAAAAAATAAACAATATAATTATAATTTGGTCTTAAAATATGATCATATATCGACAAAAGAACAACATATTTCTTAGCTATGACAACTTGACCTCCTTATATAATTAGAAACAATGACTTTTAGAACAAAGACCTGATCCGTTTCATTTAAGCCGTAGACAAACAAGATAATAGGCTTGGGACAAAGAACGGAAACAGCATTGCTGATGACAAATTTTTCTTGCGAATCTTTGACAGATAAGTCTTTGTTTAACACCTCGTTAAATCCCCCAAATTACATATGCAATAAATGGATAACCACATAAATCGTGGCGATAAGCTTGAATGTGTTAGTCGTCGCACTTATTTGCAAGAAGTCTACTTTAAAAAACATCAGCTATATTTATAGCAAAACCGCAATGACAAATCTTGTAGCCAACGTTCATTGTGAAGTCGCAAATAGTCAGTTATATGATTGTGAAAAGCGGTTAGATGTATTGGAGAATTAGTCAGAGACTACGCAATAAATAATCTTAGTTTACCTTATCCAAATATAAGACATGGAAAGTCAAAGAAAATCTTTTTATGCGAATGTCCTTCACTTAGAACTTGATGTCGGTAATCATCAGATAAGGGCCATCAAAAACAATGCTATCAAAACATCTGATTTTATAACACGGAAAATGAGCCAGCCACACACAACGGCACAACTTGCCCATATGCAGGGACATACAAAATATTCTTGGCTTGAAAAATACTTGTTGCTTTTGTCCAAATAAGTATGGAAAATAAATTTAAAATATCATGTGTCGAGACTTTGAATGTCTGATTTTTTTTTCAAATAAGTGAATTGGAGTTTGGATATTGACTATGTGATGACAACTTGTTTGAATTATTTGGGTCAAAATTAATTGTTCGGTGGATTAAAAAAATGTTGCCAAAACCACATAGACTTGAATTGTGAGAAGTCTTTTCATTTTGAGAATGAACACACTTTTATATTGACGATGTTGTTTATAAACACAGATAATAAATAGCATGGCTTATTAATAGTATACATGATGTTTGTACCTGGGTGCTACATTTCACCGAGTTGCTATAACAAATGTTATTTGTACCGTTAATTTATCAAAATGGCGTTATGTCAACTCTCAAATGACAACAACTCTAACAATTTTGCAAAAAAAAAAACAAGTATCCTTGCTTTAACGCAAAATTGCAAAGTATTTTGCAGATGTATTTTTTAATTAACTCCCGCCAAAAAATAAACGAGTTTTAAATGGTGGAGACGTCAGATCATATATGACCTATAGGTCACCCTCGCACATTACTACGAGCGAGAGGTACAGAACTCCCAAATAAAAATTATAGCAACTCAATTGTGAACAAAATAGTCGTTGTACTTGTTGATGTCTGTGATGTTTTTATTTAATTGATATTTTTATACTTACCTATGTAAAACCCTGTCGTTGTGTTAAGATGTATGTATATTGTACTAACTATAACTTATAGATTGCAAATGTAACATTGCAAAGTACTGTCAATTTTAACAGTGCCCATTTCAATTACGAAGTTAGTTTTTCTATGATACAGTCGAAGTTCTGTCAGTGGATGTATCTTGATATTGGCAGCGCCTTTATTGCAAAGCAATAAGGAAGTATTCTGAGTGTCGGTTTATTCACCTTCACGGCTTTTACTGTACTCGAACCAAGGCCTATTTAGTTGCCCGATAAAATTTGCACTACCCTGTGCTTTATTAAAGCAAAATATCGTTTATTGTACAGAAAAACAAAAAAAAATGTATAATAGAATTATCTTAAAACTTACCTACTTACAAAATATAAAATATGTCACCCCCAGTGCCGCCGTCAGGAATGGTGCCCAATATGCTGGCAGCATTTCCTCGTTGTATAGCAATACTGATCCGTTGATATACTTGTATAATTATACATTCTTAAGTCGATAACATTAAGAAATATGTTGCTTTGATTGAGAAAATTTAGTGAAACAAAATGAATGGGAAAATTAATTTTTAGCGCTTAACGAGTAAGTTATAGCATTAAACATACTTTATTAGCTTACTTTTCTCTCGATATATATTTTTTATTTTATATGTAATTATGTTTCTTTTTTTCTTGTTACTAATACTACTATAAGCTTGGTAAAGAAAATATAAAATATGTACAGTTTGAGCTGTATATTTTTATAATACGACAATGATAGTACGAATTTACAAGAAACGAGGTCGTAAACAAAGTTTGAGAATGTTTGGAGACAAGATGTAATAATGGAATTAAGTTTTTTTTTTATATTTATTGACGGCGTTAAATATGTCATGTAACAGTAATTTATTACTTAATTAATGTTCTATCATAACTTATAAAAGTGCAATTTTAAAATAAGTTTTGAACTATTCCGAGTATGTTTTAATATGTATAGATGACCTAACTGACCAGAGGCCGTATTATCAACTCTTAACGCCAGACAAGTTCCATTGTTAAAGCGAGACATCACATACGTACAGTTAAGCAGCATCCCACGAGCCGAGGTCCGAGTCTCAGGGACGCCCTCTAGTTGAGCCGACCCCCTCAAGTTCGAGTGGTCTAGAGGCTCCAGACGGAGAGGAGACTCCCCCCGTGGGGAGACACCATCCGGCTGGAATACCTCTAGAGGCACTCGCCAATTCTCGGCTTGAGGTCCCCTTAGGATCTCGCCGTCCCCAAACCCGGTGACGATGTAAAGGTCATCTGCGACCAACAGCAACACACTTAAAACAAAATATTCCATTTCAACAGCTGTATTTGCCAGGCGTTAAGCGTTCATAATACGAATTCTATTATATAGAAAATTAATTGTAAAAAAAACTAAACTGTAATAAATCTCCTTGATTACCTGTACGAATGTGTTGATTTATTTGTCTTTTGTATAATCTAAGTACAAAATATATTTTTTTAATTGTGTATCACACATTTAGTAATTGCTTTTTTGCTAGAAATTGAATTAAACAAAAAAAAGTATTATTTTTATGTAAAAATTAATAAAAAGAAACACTTGAACATTAAATTGCTATTTTTATTGGCTCCTATTATTTAAATAAATGATTATCAGAAAAATAACTATTTTAAAAATAACTGTTCCTCGGAAAAATACAATTGGTACCTTACCTTTAGGATGCCAATAATAGGGGTGATGACGGGGTACAGTAAACGAAATTCTATTTAGTCCGTCAGTTAGATGATCAAAAAATAATGGACACGTATTTTTTCTTTGGGCAATCAACCAAAAAATGACAAAGTTATAGCGCGTCAAAGTTTGGGAGTAGGGGCTCGTGACGTCACTTTTGAGTGAATTTTCAGTTATAAGTGTACTCAAACGTGACGTCATGCGACTTTTCAAATCAATATATCTCTGCAATGTTTATATTATATGAAAAAAGAAAAAATACGTGTCCAATACTTTTTGATAATCTACCTGATAATCGAAGAAAAAAAAATAGTCATCATCCCTATTGTATTTTTAGGTGTTCATTGATGTCGATTCTGGCATGATTTTCTAAAGCTAAACTTAAATTTGACAACAGTGTATCTTTGTCATTCTCTATACAGAATGAAAAGGACAGACTGATGTTAAATTGAGTTTTAAGTTTAGAGAATCCTGCCAGAATCGACACCGGTATTATATTGCTTAGGGTTATTTTTTTTTCTATCTCAGGTACAGATTGGACTGAGCGATATTCCCATGAAATTGTAAATTTTTACAAAGAGAATGAAATGGTGTCCCACAGAACACAGAAAGAGGTTAGAAGGTCTTTTGTGGGCGGGATAGGCGCGCCACAGTTATGTGTGAGCAAATGCTCATAACTTGACCAAAACTTTGTTCAGATTGTGTCGTTGCACTCGAGTGTGAGGGATGATTAGTTCGATTGTTTGATGTTGCGTCGTTTGATTGGCTATTATCTATAAGGTGAGTGTGTAGCGGTAGCGAGCTGGCGACATCGGTTCCTGTACAAACGGTCTATAATCACCCTCCTAACTAGCGGAGAGTCGAAGCGCATCGAAGTGAATTTCAGAAACAGTTACAGAAAATTCATTCTTATACATGCTGAAGTCGGAAAGCCTAATTTTTGGGCGAGAGTAGAATAGCTTCGCATATGTAAAAGCTAGTAAGTTGGTATTGTTGTCAGTAATTTAGGTTGGATTTCATCGAATTATGTAAGTTTTTTGCCAATAAATATTGATTATCGTTTTGTGATCTGTCAGAAACTAGGGACTTTATATTTGATCTGAGGGGGGCCCCCTATCAATCGCGGGGCCTTGGACACTTGCCCAAAGTACCCACTGAGAAAGAGGGGTCTGAGGAAGGGTATCCAGTATAAATGAAATAACTAATATTTATATCCATTTATTGATTAAGATTCTTTTCTCTCTGTTGCTACATAATCAGTCTTTAAAATTCCAATGATAAAATTTACTTAAATCTAGACTTTAAATATTTATCACGTAGAAGATAGCGCCTGTCAAAGCATGATAGATCGATTTTTAAACGTTTTCACAACTATGTACATATTATTATCTGTTCTTTAATATCTACATTTAATTAATTTTAAGCGTCTTATGATTAAAATCTATCTTCATTCTTATGATAATGAAATAACTAAGATTTTATCTTCAAATTTGCCAAATGAAAATCAATTAGTTTTGACGTAATACAATAAGACATTAAAGCAATTATGATCGTCATTATTTTGATGAAACGAACATTTTTGCGCTAAAATTACGAGTGTCATATAAAACCTAGATAAAAATCAACAATCGAAAGACTAGGTACTTACGCGACGTAAAAATACAGTAACAATAAAAAAAACATGATTGGAAATATCGTCCAATAAAATAAATTATAAAAATATCACATGCAACGAAACAAGTTTAACTTGTTTATTTATCAAACAAGATTTTGTAAAGTATCTACGTTAGAGTCTGTGCGGAAAGAGAATGGGCGTGGCGAAAAACGGAACTTTAAAAAAAAAAATTAGGCAACCTGTAAAACGTCAATGTTTTGTATTGATACGGATTTGTTTGTTGTTGTGATTTCTTGCGATTTTTTGTATTTAATCATGTCTAAAAGGGGTAAAACCTTACAAATACGGTAGAAAAGTACTACAGCGCACTCCAATCTAAATCCCATTCTCTTTCCGCACAGACTCTAGTGAAGTTATCTAACAATTATACAATACAAAATAAGAAATATAAATCGAATAATATTAATAAAACTGTTTCTTCTGAAGATAAAGGCACATTCGCGCCTCCGCGAAAATAACTTTCACGTGTTATTAAAACCCTTAACATGCGCTTGTACCCCCACCAATATTGAAGTCATTTGAAAGCCTATTAAATAAACTTAAAAAAAAACCATTTTATTTCATTAAAAAAAAAAAGACTAATACCACAAATGTGACTTAAAATAATGCCAATTTTGCTCCTCAAAAGGGCCACTAGTTGCAATACCTTTAGTGGGTATAAAAGAGATAATACAGGTTCAAATGGGGGTTTTTCCGAAAAGATCTTTCACAAAAAACACTTCATATTAAATCTAAAATATATATATTTTTATAAAGCTGGTTAGCTTTAAAAAACTTTTTGTTTTTTTTTAAATTATGTTTTTAATTAAGGGTTTTTTATTGATTTGTAACTCCAATTGTTTTTTACACTGTTCCAATAAAAATATAAATTAATCGAATTGTTTATTCAAGTTCATTTAATGAGTTATCAAATAAAACCAATATTGGTGGGGTAAAATGCGTGTGTTAAGGGTTATAAAAACGCTTGAAAGTTATCTTCGCGGAGGTGCGATTTATTTGACGCCGAGTGTAGGTATTAACGGGATTGCTACAGTGCAGGCTTGTTTTTTGCGAGTCCCCGATGTTTCGGCACTGTTGTAAGCGCCATGATCACGGAATAATATCGGAGACTCACAAAAGCAAGGTGCATGGTAGCAGACCCGTTAATAACTATAATATTGGTGTCGATTCTGGCACGGCTATCTAAATCTAAACTTAAATTTAACAACAGTTTATCCTTGTCATTCTCTATACAGAATGAAAAGGAGAGATTGATGTTAAATTTAGTTTTAAGTTTGGAGAATCATGCCAGTATTGACACCATTCTATCCTTATACAGTTATATGCTTCCTAAGTGAGGTAGGTAGCGATGTAGTCATCCTCCGCGTCGAGCATGGCCTGCCGCAGAATGGGATCGCGCGCCGCCAGCGCCGCCGTGTGTGACGGCAGAAGCAGGCACATGCGGCCCGACGCGCCCCACGAGAACTTGTTCTCACCTACACCCACACTACTACTGACCACACCACACATGTGTGTGTGACGGCAGAAGCAGGCACATGCGGCCCGACGCGCCCCACGAGAACTTGTTCTCACCTACACCCACACTACTACTGACCACACCACACATGTGTGTGTGACGGCAGAAGCAGGCACATGCGGCCCGAAGCGCCCCACGAGAACTTGTTCTCACCTACACCCACACTACTACTGACCACACCACACATGTGTGTGTGACGGCAGAAGCAGGCACATGCGGCCCGACGCGCCCCACGAGAACTTGTTCTCACCTACACCCACACTACTACTGACCACACCACACATGTGTGTGTGACGGCAGAAGCAGGCACATGCGGCCCGAAGCGCCCCACGAGAACTTGTTCTCACCTACACCCACACTACTACTGACCACACCACACATGTGTGTGTGACGGCAGAAGCAGGCACATGCGGCCCGACGCGCCCCACGAGAACTTGTTCTCACCTACACCCACACTACTACTGACCACACCACACATGTGTGTGTGACGGCAGAAGCAGGCACATGCGGCCCGACGCGCCCCACGAGAACTTGTTCTCACCTACACCCACACTACTACTGACCACACCACACATGTGTGTGTGACGGCAGAAGCAGGCACATGCGGCCCGAAGCGCCCCACGAGAACTTGTTCTCACCTACACCCACACTACTACTGACCACACCACACATGTGTGTGTGACGGCAGAAGCAGGCACATGCGGCCCGACGCGCCCCACGAGAACTTGTTCTCACCTACACCCACACTACTACTGACCACACCACACATGTGTGTGACGGCAGCAACAGGCCACGGTAATATTATCTATACAGTATTCCATCTTCATACAAACGCTCGGAAAGCGTGTCATACCTACGCCACTCGTGTTCGCGCGGCACCCGGTGGGCAATGTAGTCGCGAATGCGCCGCTTCGACGACCGAACGGTGTCAATTGTTTTTAAGCAGTTAGCCATGCTTAAACTTGCGATTTGTATTGTGAATATTTGATTGAATTAAGAAGATACCTACATAATTTAATATGGTAAAGAGCAATAGTCGATATTGTACTGTTTATGGTTGCTTGAACTCTTCAATAATTAAACTTTTTATACGAATGCGTATTTATTATACTATTAAATTTAATAATAAAGCTTTTGGTACGTCTCTTCGTAAATATTTTTCTGTCTCAAATCTATATTTTTCTTTATTAAATATTTCACTTAAAATAACATGTATTTTCTGTAACACTTCCTAATTCGATCACAGCATTTTTTTTACATATGAAATCAAATATTTACAGTCACAAAACTAGAAAGAAACTAAATTATGTAGATGAAATCAAAATACTGTAGGCCCTACCGCGTGGATACGCCCCGCTCGGCCGTAGGCAGTTATTTCAAGGACAGGGCCGAGTCACAATACTGTATAGATAATATTACCGTGCCGACGCGCCCCACGAGAACTTGTTCTCACCTACACCCACACTACTACTGACCACACCACACAAGCACAACACGGGAGAGATGAGGATTAAAGACCCAAAGCGATGAAAAAGAATGAAAAATGGGTGTGGAGAGCTACTAGTAATAGTCAAACCAAATGCTCGCGACCGTATTAAACATTGACCCCCTTATTAATAAACGAGGAACAAGCCTGGATTAGTTCCTCCATGTTTTGTCTCTGTTCATTAGGTGCGTCTACACAGAGCGAGCAGCCTCGCGCGGCAAATGCCTAGCGAGGCTGCTCGCTCTGTGTAGACGTACCTATTGACTGACATATGGCATTTGAGAGCCATGAACAAACAACGGTGTACTTAGTCTAAGAGGCTGAGCGTTGTTAAGCAGACAGCGACCAGCATTATTGAAGTAAGCGAATTTTTGTTCGGCGATTTTTACAGTTTGATTTTGTTTGACCCCAAAAATAAACAATGGCTGCTCTCTTCTTAACACCGCTCTGTTTACGTTCCATAGTCAACTTATACCGCACATTCTCCACCGTTACATCAAACATTATTACTCATCATCACCAGCATATTAATGTGCCCACTGCTGGGGCACAGGCCTTCCCTATGGATGGAATAAGGAGATTGGACCATGATCCAACACGCGGGCCCAGTGCGGATTAGCGGGTGCTAAATACTGCAGGTGCAGCCGGGACCAACGGCTTAACGTGGCTTCTGAAGCGCGTTCCTCCGAGCTCAAGATAAAAGATTTTTGGTCACCCATCCAATGACCGACCACTGCGAAAGTTGCTTAACTTCAACGATCGAAAGAAATACTAGAGAAAATTCAACACGGCCATCAGGGCCGTGGTAGCATAATGGTCAGTGCATTCGCCCGGATAGCGAATAGCGAATGGTGCGGGTTCGAGTCCCGTCTGCTGCCTGGTCCGCGTGGATGTTTTTCTAGTAATATTATCTTTAGATTTAAGCAAACAAACCAGATCAAGAAAGAAGAAGTTATTCTATAGGTAAGCCATTTCAACGTAATGTCAAATACTAACTAAAATATTCATTATATTATACAAACACTTAGACAGCGCTGTTTCATCTATAGTTAAATTTGACAATAGTTAAAATACTAGAGAATAATAACCATTTTGTCAAAATTTTACACATTTACCATATCGACTGTGGCAAAGAAAAATACGCCACTTTGGTCGAAAATGAATTTATTATATTAATAACCTTTAATAATAACCTTTATTTCTCACCATAATCACAATGTTGGTATTAATGGCTACATAAAAACAATGATATAAAAAGCATGCATTTTTTTTTACCAAAAATAAAAGGTACGTATTGATCAGATTATGGTGGGTTGACACCTGAACTAGGATGAATCCTGTGTCTCAGGTAGTCAACCCTCCACCCTATTCATAAAGTTGTGTACCATTTAGTAAACAATTTATTAATCCAGATAACTGTTCTTAAGTTATTAATTCAATGGAATAGCCAAAGGAGTTTGTTATGTGTGTGAGTGTGTGTATGTGTGTGTGGGTGTGAGTGTATGTGTGTGTGTCTCTGTGTGTGTGTGTGCATCTTATAATGTTTAACTTATTATTTTGAATATCGTTTCTGTATTTTTATAATCTAGCGTTTTTAAAGTTTTTTGAAGTGCAGTTTTAAGATTATTTCTATTTAGTTTATATATATTGTAACGTTGTTACATATTTTTTTTTAAACTTACAATTTACTACTCCAAATTAAATTAAACTTAATATTATTAACTAAAATACTTTTGCACATTAATTTACACGAATCAGTTTTTGAATACCTAATGTTTATAAACACCAAATTCATTTAACATCGATCAAGCAATTCGCTGCGCGCGCCCTTCCAAGTTCGGCGACCGTTTGTTGAGTTCCTTTCGAACCACGCCCAAATAAATTTGTTGTTTGCTTCAAGGGTCTCGTTTCATTTAAACACCATTGGAACGTAACAAATATCATTTGAATCAGATTTTTATATACGTCGATCTGTTTGTATTTCGTGAAGATTTGAGTAGGTACTTTTTACGCGCATAAGTAACTAAATTTTTTGAAGTTTCTTATTGTTTACAACGCCGAAGCGACATAAATTTTGTGCTTTTTTTTAATCAATGGAGCTTACGTCGTACTATTTAGAGTAGGATTCATTGTTTACTTGACAAAAAATATATGGCGGGCCGAGTGAGTTTCGTTTAAGCGACATCTAATTCGTAAAGGCACTATTTAACTTTTTAACAGCAGGATATTTAGTGATATTATTTTATGTTTTTTTTTATTTTTATAGCGCTACTTCTGATTAACAATGACTTATGATTTTTTTTGAACAAAAAAAAATTTGATCCTGGTTTCTGTAAAGTCATTAAAGTGGCGTTTAAGCGATTTTGATTATCTATTGTTGATAAATAAATAAATAATAAATAAATATTCCCAACACACACACCAATTAGCCTAGTCCCAAAAGTAAGCACTATAAGGCTTGTATTATGGGATACTAGGGTAACGGATAGAATAGAATACATATATTGTACATATATAAGTGTATTTATATAGTGATACATATTAAACATCCATGACTGGAGTACAAATGCACGTATTCATCACACAAACATCTGCCCCACCGGGATTCGAACCCGGGACCTCTCGAGTCGGCGACACCATGAAACCAGGCGTACAAACCACTCGGCCACGGAGGTCGTCGTGATATAATTGACGTGACAATAACTACAGACAAATTTATCTATAGATGAAACAACGCGGCCTTAGTAACTACACCCACAATAACCTATTCTATGAAACCACCACCGCTATAAGCGAGACTTTATTCAACTTATCATAGTTACCAGTAATATTGAAGTGGAGTAGATTAATATGCACGCGTACTTCAGCAGACAGCGGAATATTGCCCGATGGCAGTATATACTCGTGAACACTAGCGAAAGTCAAGTTTTGATGAAAATGCATCTTTATACGATCAACTTATTATATACCTGGATGATATTATTATGTTTTTTCTTATAGTTAAGCAAATGACTCTACTCCACCTGATGTTAAGTGGTGATAAAGTCCAAACGCGAAGATAGCTGGTACAGCAGTTATAAACTGCTACACCAACCATCCTCACCTTGCCGGCCTGCAAAAATGCTTCTTCACGCCTCTCTTAAAGGACCCCAGATTATAGGAAGGAGGGAACACTTGCGCGGGTAAAGAATTCCACTTACGTATAGTACGACAAAGAAATGAGTCACCAAATTTCTTTGTTCGTGTAGGAATAGTGGCCACAGTAAGTCGGTGGCAACGTAGGCCAGCGCGCGTAATCCTCTGAAGAAAAAGTGATGGAGGGATAAGCGAGAATAGCTCCTCAGAACACTCGCCGTGGTATAGTCGGTAGAATGCGCTTAATGATGCCACATCACGGCGTAATTGTAGAGACTCGAGTTCAAATGTGTTCGGGCGCTTCATTAAGTGGGCCGTTAAATGTGTTCGGAAGTACATATTCATGTATCAGCTGTTGCCTATTTAAATTCCGAATTTCCAAGGTTCACAGTCCATATTCATGAAACACTAGCTCCGACATGAACCAAACTTTACCTGAGCTAGGGATGTCGAAAGTTGAAAAAAATGTCGATATATCGATCAGCACAACCAATTCACCAGCGAAACAGATTTACAAATAATAGACAATACTAAATACAGCACAGATCATAGATATGTTGAATATCATTAATCTGAGATCCAGTTACGATTTTTCCAGATACGAATTTAGTTAGATCGTGATATGCCGCTAATAATTAAAAAAAAATATCGTTTTTGATACGAATTTCGATATTGGTTATTTTGTATTTTGTAGCAAAAAATATCTATATATCGAAAAAAAAATATCGATATATCGATACATCGATATATTTTCAACAAGCCTAACCTGAGCTTAAAAATAATATGTAAAAGATAATGAAATATTTACCATAGTATTGCAGAGGCCAATCTCTCGGCGAATGCTTTCTTGCCAACAGACAAGACGGCACCGCCCCCGGAGGCAACACTTTGGCCGGCCACCATGGACAAGTGCCCAGTTTGTGCCAGACCACGTCCTCATATCTATGGGGGTTTTTTTTTACGTTAAAAGGGGGTAAACCAGCGTATGGCTTATTGACAAATTCCAAATTTTAATGTGATTTACCTTGTTATTTTTTGGTGGATTGATATAAAAAAAAGTCTAGAAAAAATCTAGTAAAATTCTCTTTTAAAAAATATGTGATGAATCTGAGACAGAGGAGCTCGTTGGCGCAAGTGGTTAGCGCGTTCGGCTGCGATCGTTGAAGTTAAGCAACTTTCGCAGCGGTCGGTCATTGGATGGGTGACCAAAAATTTACTATCTCGAGTTCCTCCGTGCTTCGGAAGGCACGTTAAGTCGTTAGTCCCGGTTGTATCTGCAGTCGTTAGCACCTACCAATCCGCATTGGGCCCGCGTGGAGGGTCATGGCCCAATCTCCCTATTCCATCCATAGGGAAGGCCTGTGCCCCAGCGGTTTGGACATTAATAGGCTGATGATGGTGATGAAAGAATATTTTGTAGTAATTTTTTCTTTAGATTTAAACATTAAGCAGTTAAATGCTCAAAAAATAAAAATATTAGAAAATTAAGTGACAATTATTTTTTGGTAATCCAACTGACTTCCTTCACCCCGTCATTATCCCTATTGATGGGAGTGCAAGAAGAGAATATTTACATACTTTTTATATGATTATGAGTTAATCATATAAATAAAAATAAATTGAAATAAAAACACTTTTTAACGGGTTGAAAATGCGGTTTTTTAATTAAAAATTAAGTAATTAAAAATCGTACTATTAGATATTGCACCCTGAAATGGATGCGAAACGTCGAGTTTACTAAAATAACGTAGTATGTTGTCATATGATATAAGTGCGTTAAGTTGGTTAGTACCAACGAGTAGACGAATGTAATGCAATGTTTTCAACACAATAGGGTATTTGACAAGTTTTAGAAAACGATCTCACGTTATTGACTAATGTTTATGGAGTCTGTAAAAAACTGTGGATATTCATCATTCTGTTGTGTATTTCAGTAACCGAATCAAAAACTCCATTTACAAGTTGCCGCGAAAACGTTTCTCTGGACAATATGGCGTCTTACTAGTATGTAACGTCACACGACTGTTATTAAAACGTCAAACGATACAAGGTAATGTCACTTTAACCGGAAGTTTACTTGCGTGTGACGTCATTTTAGGCTCCGCCAATCCCACGCGTTTTGGGTCACGTGACAATAGATAAGAAAACTATTGTCTTTTTCGTGGGTTTTTAGTAAAATTATGTTTTTTTTTGCAAAAATAGTAAAAACCCCTGTCAATATTCATTCTAAACACAGATGCTAACAATTGACACTTTATTTTTAATACCGTCAAATACCCTATAACGAGGAAACACTACCTAAACCTAATTTAAGTAATGAAGTAAACTTTTTCTAATAAGAAAATGGCGCGCATTTCCAAATGTCGCCTTGTACGGGTAGTGTTTTTTTTTTCTAAATGGCTTCGCACGGCTTGTGCATTTAGCTAATGTCAAGTGTTAAAATGTTTACAAATACTATAGCACTCGTGGTCAAAGTAACAAATCAAGTCAAAGTAAGCGGCAGTCAAGTCAATCCCCCTTTCCCTACGTTTCAGTAAAAGTGTGGGGATTTACTGGAACCTCCCCGTGGACTTCTTGAGGGAACGTCGAAAGACACTTTCCGTTATTTTGTTTCACTTGCCACCACTTGTGCATGTTCCCGAACACTTAGTGGTTAATAATCCACCATTACTAGACACTAACATCCGCCACAACACAATTTTTAAGAAGAAAAACAAAACTGCTAAAGTGACGCTTCCCGATCCCGCCAAAAAGTCCGGGTAGGAAATATAGAACTACATCTTTCGTCTCTTTTTCTTTTTAGTATTAAAGTGAGACAAAGGCATAGATAAAAAGCGTTTTCAAGTAGGTTCGGGTGGTATAAAAAAAATGCCGTAAAGAATACGCAAGGCGCCATGTACGGGCGCGTGCAGTAAAACGTTTTAGCGCACGCTCCATTGTATGGCCAGTAATTTTTAACTTGCAACCAATGTATACAACCGTCGTAAATGCATTTTTGAACAAGTGTGTTAAAAGCGCATTTTATACCTGTTAATTTTTTTTACTTTAAATTTTATATAATGAGTGGTATGAGTGAAAAATTAAGTACCAAATAAATTACGCACCCAATTTTCGGTCCCCACATGCAGCTGGGGCACAGCTCCACGTTCTCCTTGTTCTTCTGCACGGAGCTGATGACCCTCGTGCTGGAGAGGATCTTCTTCACGAACGTCTGCGCCGGCGCTTGCTTCGGGGGCTTTTTGCGATCTAGAAGAATATGGAATTATAATGAAAAAAGGAAAATTAGCATTTAGTTTTGTTCCTATGTTATAATATAAATAACCACTTTATTTAAAAAAAAATCGCTAACTATTCAATACACCGTGCAGACAGTAATAATTATAAAGATTCTTATTTTACTAGAAAAAACCAGGCAGCAGGCGGACTCGAACCCGCATCCTTCGCTATCCGGGTGAATGCACTGATCATTATGCTACCACGGCCCTGATGGCCATGTCGAATTTTCTCTAGCATTTCTTAGGCTGCAAGGCAGCGCCATCTCCTCGCATAGTACTCGCCACACAATGCCAAATGAAAACCTTTACAAATCTTTTGCTGAAGACCTGGCTGTATACTTGAAAATTCGACACGGCCATCACGGCCGCATAGCATAATAGTGCATTCGTTCGAATAACGAAGGGTGCGGGTTCGAGTCCCGTCTGCTGCCTGGCCCGCGTGGATTTTTTCTAGTTCTAGTAAACTTTTCTTTAGACACATCTAGCAGTTAAATGCTTAAAAAATAAAAATATAAGATCAAAATTGTTTTTAAACGGTTTCAGCGCTGTACTCACGTAAGATGGTGACCAGCCACTCCTTCCTACAAGGCAGGTGGAAAGACGCAGGACATTTGGGACACTCCCTCAGTTTGTCCGGTTTCCCGCATACGAGGCACCACGGAGCATGCATCGTTATCGCTTGCTTCTCCGGGGACGTGTGCTATGACCAATTGTCTTAAGTTAATTCGTTGTCAACGTCAATGATATTAAATACCCTAGATACACCAACACGAACAAAACCGTGCCTGAAACCTGTCCAAAAGGTACATTGGACCAAGATGATCGCCTAGTCAAAAACAATATAAGGTATTTGTTATGTAAACAATTAAATAAATAGGTTCGAAGGAGCGGTAGTATTTTCAAAATATTCCATTTAAGGAAAACACTATTTTTTAAAGGACAGAATAATTAATTTTAGAGAAAAATTACAAATTACGAATAAAAATATGAGAGACCATTTTCCTTTTACATTTTTTTGTTAATGTGACATCTGCCACTAATTATTTTTAAGATGAGGTATAGAACCTCAACATCATTATTTAAACATTGAAAGCCCCCTTTAATACATACTGTCTATGGTAAGGTCTTAATTAAAACGCATGCGTCAAAGAGTTATGACAGTTCGAAATGCAAGCTCGTAAAATTTTACGACTTTATTGCTATATGCGTAAGATTATAGACCCTATTCCTTTGACTCTACGCGCAATTCTGAATGCGCTGTTACCAATATAGCAAGTACAGACCATGAGGATAAGAGACAGCAATATTACGGTCTATGCATTTGAATATCACAAATATTTACTCAGTTACAGTTACAATATTTATTCAATCAGTTTATATTTTTAAGTATTAGAACAATATAAATTAAAGGTGTCTTTCAATTTTTAAATAATGCCTTATATTTTTTTTTTGACTTTTTGGACAAGTTTCGGCCACTATTTTGTTGGTGATGTTGTATCTAGGGTATTTAATATCGTTGAACTAAAGTCATTAATTAGCAAACAATATTTCACTATTAACTTGGGAAAACTTTTATTTCATGCCCCATCACCCTCATAAGGTTTTAAAGGTTTTAGATATTAATACAACCACATGCTCTAAAGCGTTAAAATGCATTGAGCTACGCTTTCGATTATCTTACCAAACTGTCCAACATCTCTTTGGTGTCCAACTGCTTCTGGACGAAGTTGTACCTCCAACATTGACGCAAATAGTTCTCGACTTCTTTCTCAGTTGCAACATTTCTCAGCACCATTTCGAACTTGTCCTCTGTACTAGCATCCACATTCAATAAATAATCTAGGCAATCCTCATCTCTGTTCTTCGCTGTTTGCATGCAAAAGAAATAGTTATCAAACAGCATTTCTTTTCCTCGCCTCACGAATTCTTGGAATGCGTTGTCATATTTGCCCTTCTTGAGAGGCATGTGAAGTATATCATAGTTTGTGTTCAGATCGGGCTCCTTCAGTTTAGAGAGCTTCACATTCATGGGCAATGTGTAGTCTTCCTTAATCTTCCTCTGTAAAAACACAAAGACATCTAATTAATATTTTTCATATATTGTGTCATTTTTCATACTCATAACTTTTTTAATACAATTTACAAATCAGTTGAGGTTTAGCTACAGCAAAAACTTCAGTACAGATTCATGACTTGAAACTGGTAAAATCCACAAAAGCAAAACAAAAAAATAAAGAAATATAATATATATTATTAAGAGACTTATAAAGTGACAAGTAAGCAGCCTTTAAAAGTTTAAATTATGTATAATAAAATCAAATATAAATCAAGTTTGAGGCAGTATTACTATGGGCCGTATTTAAAGCAGGGCAGGTTGGGCGCATCCACACCTCTCAATCCGGCCCTGGCATTACCTATATTATATGATGAAGTGTGCCAACCTGCCACTAAAAATTATTCTTGAAATCTCTTGTAGATATAGGTAGGTCTAGCGGATAAAGGTAATATTGGTTAAAATATCTCAGTTCACTGGGAAACCTCCAAGAGGCAATTACCAATGTGAAAGCCTCAGGCAAACACACTCTCCTCACGCAAAACAGGCGCCATATGGATGTAAAGTTGCAGAAACTCCCATTGCAAGAACATGAAGAAGATGAGTAGCTTGTACTATCGCGGAATGTTGCACTCTGTCACTTGGCGAACAAAATGCTTTGAACGGTTTTCTACAGTAGGTTTTACTACGCTACTACTACCAATATAAATGGAGTGGTGTTAATCAGAAAGCAACCAGTGGGCATTTTTGTAGCTTGCTAAAATGAGTTCGTTGGACCAATGTGAAAGTATGATTGTAAAAACAGGATGCGACCATTGATCATTTTGGGATCAAACTTTAACATGGATTCAAAGAACAAATTTACATCTTTTTTTTCTAATTTTTTTTATAGCCTGATAGGCAAATGACTCTACCCCATCTGATGTTAAGTGGTGATAAAAATCCAAATGTGAAGATAGCTGGTACAGCAGTTATAAACTGCTACACCAACCATCCTCACTTTGCTCGCCTGCAAAAATGCTTCTTCATGCCTCTCTTAAAGGACCCCAAATTGTTGGAAGGAGGGAAAACATACACGGGCAAAGAATTCCACTTACGAATAGTATGATAAAGAAATGAGTCACCAAATTTCTTTGTTTGTGTGGCCACAGTAAGTCCGTGGCAATGTGGTCCTCTAGTGGTCATTTGGTTTGAAAGTGCCCACCGGTCGCTTTCTGATTGAGAACACTCAATTACAAATACAATATAGAATACTTACCTTAATATCCTTGACATTATCTGTACACCACAGTCTCCTAGTATGCATGGTTTATAGAATAGAAAAAAATTGAGAAATTCTAGTCAATCAGATATTGTATAAAACTTTATTATAGAGTTTAACTTCAAGGAATGAAGATCCTTTTACCTTCTTTGGTGATTTATTTTCTATTGGCTTAAGCACTCGCACTTTTTCCGTACTATCTTTGCCATAGAAAGGCCGGGAACGCTCTGCAAGGTGGAGACTTGTGTAGGGCAACCAAATTCTCTCCTTTGTACGGCTTATTTCAACATAGTAACATAGTTCTTCAGTAGTAGTAATACTGTCATCTTCGTTTGAAGATATTCCTAGAACTAAGTAAGAATAACATTGTAATAAAAAATTACAGAATTTAATTGTGAATATATTTTCCATCACATTATAAAATTATACTGGTTTAGCTATAAAATACTGTAATTTTCTATTATTAGGGTTTCGAGACAGCAAGCCGTTTTTAGAATACACAAAACATTTAGTTGAACGAAAATGTAGAAAACTTTTAAACTCGATCTACTCTATATCTCTATTGATAAATTAGCAATTTCCAAGATTAACCTTTGTCATCATAAAATAAACCTTTCTCATCTTTTACCACTCTAACTTTTGCGTAAACTTTGTGACACACTCTTGCAAGTGCTATATCTCCAAGTTTCCAGTGGTAAATACTCATATTTTCAGAGCAATAAATGTAAAAATACAAAATGAAAAACGCCTAAAAAAGTTTTCACCACATATAAATATTTGGAAAATAGACTGAGTGAGTACATTAAGAAATATAAATTCTATAATACCCTGCATTAAGGTTCATTTTCAATAAACAGCTATTTTGTTGTATCCATGATAATTTTTTTCTTCCATAATAATTATAGCCTCGAGTAGCCCTCTTTTCAGCCTTTCATCTACCAAGCAAGTTTCCCAGGCCCCGACATCTAGCGAGTAAAAGACACACTATAAAAGAGTGCAGTGACATCTAGCGCTGAGTAGAATAACAACAATGGTAGATTTGTCATGCTAGTAGCATAACAATAAGAATTTTACTCTGGATGTATCAATAGATGGCAGTAGTAGTTGTGTAAGTTGTGTTTCAGTTTACATTTCATGTCTACTATTTTGTTCCGTTTATGTTGTGTCAATAATAAAAAAAAAGTAAATAAATTGTTTTCTACTACAAAAATTTTCTAGTAACTGTTATTTTGATCACCCATCACATCTACGTCGATTAAATTGGAATCATAGGCCAGGGCGGAAGCCTTTGATAATGATTAAAAGAAAAAAAAAACTTAATAGGAATAACAACATTTTAAGTGGAAGAAAACATATTAGAAAATGGAGGAAAAATAATTTGCGGGCGATTTGTCAGTTTGTCGGGTCAGGTAGGGTATCGCAATTTTCGGGAATAGATGGCATAGTTGTAGATAATAATTAAAAGATATATATATAACGGGCGTTTTGTTTTTTTTTTATATTTATCTCCTATTTAATAGCTAAACCTGATAAACCTTATTTAACTCCTATTTTTTCACGAAAGGTAAAAATTACCTTTTTACATCCCAAGTACTATCTAATTTTTTGATTTTAAAATATACATTTTTATTTTAAAAATTTTGAAGTTGGTGGGTGATAACGGACTCAGTGCTGATTGGTGGGTGACAACGGACCCAGCGCGGATTGGTGGGTGATAACGGACCCAGTGCGGATTGGTGGGTGACAATGGACCCAGTGCGGTTTGGTGGGAGATAACGGACCCAGCGCGGATTGGTGGATTTTTTACTATCAACAAATCATCACGTTAAGTTTATGATTCAGATCATTGCAGCTAAAGAAGTTTCACTTCAGTCGTGTGGTCATAAGCACACTTGGTTTTTTTTACTTTTTGCAGGCTTACTTGCTAGCTGTCCACCTGATGGTAAGTGGTCACTGCCTTCCATGGACATTTGCAGCACCAAGGGTAGGTATTACTTATTGGCGACTCTGAAGGAAAAGGTTTACCAGTCTTTTGAAGACCGACACAACCTCATTTTCTCTCAAAATGTGTCGTCAAAAAAGTTATTTTTATTTAAAAATTGGTACGTATGTTTTTTGTTCGTTGAATCTCTACTTTCTGATGGCATACAAAAATATACCTATATTTACTATGTAGTTTTTCTCGAAAAATGCAGAGGTTTCAACGAACAATAAACGCATCAACTTTAAATAAAAATAACAAACCGCCCGTAAATCCTACTTAATCTACTATATAAAAATAAGTCGGGTTTTCCTTCCTGACGCTATAACTCCAGAACGCACGAACCGATTTCCACGGTTTTGCATTCGTTGGAAAGGTCTCGGGCTCCGTGAGGTTTATAGCTAAGAAAATTCAGGAAAAATAAAAAAAAACTTCTTTTAATCACCAAACGAAATGTTACATAAAACGAAGCCATCTGGTGGCGAAACGGAGTTCGCCGGGTTTGCTAGTATTTATTATAAATGTGAAAGTTTATATGTTTGTTGCTCAATCACGCAAAAGCTACTGGATGGATTTGGATGAAATTTTCTACGCATATAGTTTATATATAAGATACTTGTTATCCCGAAGAAATGTTAGGTTCCTGAGGAATTTACAAAAAACTTAAGTTAATGCGGACAAAGTCGCGGGCAGCTGCTAGTTATTATTTAAAATGAGTGATTTACAATAGACTGTTTCTTTTGGTTGCCTTTTATAATCTCAGCGGCAAAGTTCATACACACACCATGCAACATATTATTACAAAGTGTAGTTTGGGATTAAAAAAATATTTACCTTTTATTAACTCCCAGTTTTTGAGTAAGTATTTAAACTTTAAGCTCCCAGTGCCACAGCTAGCCTTGGGCAGACTGGGCCATTGCACTAAAAGAGGCAACGCGAGGCCAATTTAAATGTAATGTCACCAGACTAAAAATCCCCGTTTACTTTTAAATTGAGTAAATACCCTACAAATTATCCATACTCGTCACAGTCTGGCAACACAGCTTTGCAAAGCGTTTCTTTACAAACCTACTTCACACAAAACTGTGAAAGTGGTAACATTTTTGGAAACAGGGAGGCTTTTAAAAATTCTAGAAGTTCGTAGTTTTTTATAGTTAGGTAGGCATGACTCTATCCCACCGGATGTTAAGTGGTGGTAAAGTCCAGACGCTGGGATAGCTGGTGCAGCAGTCCAAACGAAGAAGGCTTTTCTGTAGTCGATGGAGGCAATATGAAGAGGTCTCTGTCTTTCTTGGTATTTTTCATTAAGTAAGAGTCTAGAGCCTGGGTTCCGAACCTGGGGGTACTTACCCCTCCGGGGGTAACAAAGAACCTAATTATTTGGTCAAATCTAAATAATAAGAAAATACTATATAATAATACTACTAAATAGAGCATGCGCTCCTTCTTGCTAGCGAGCCCGCGGGGAGCTGAGTGTGGGAAGCGGGGCGAGATTTCCTCCTGATGATGACATTATTAGAGACGAAGATGTAGCGGCCAAATTGGAATTTCTTGGACTGATGATAACATTTTAAAGTCGGGGTAAAATCTGTTTTCCTAATAGGTTACAGGGGTAGCAGTATTGGAAAGGTTAGGAAACACTGGTCTAGAGTGTGAATATGGTCTATAGTCGAAAAATTCTTCCTGAATCCCGCTTGTTCCATGGGCTGTTCAGCTTCCAGTGTGGTACTTATTCTTTGGTTTATGATAGAGGAAAATAACTGGTTTAATAATGGTTTGCAATATAACGTTAAAGAAGTGAAATTATGGTTTTCACATTCAATGGGAAAAAGTGAAGAGCGTATTCCACCATAAAATGTTTAATAGAGTGATTCTGAGAAGGGTGAATAGTTTTAAACACCTAGGTCATGTGATTTATATAAATTAATGTATGATGGTATGTAACTTAGGTTTAAATCGTGTTTTTGCGTAGTGTTCTTTTCTAGTAGTAGATTTGAAAGTTCATTATACTAACTGTATAACTCTTTGCTTCTTCCATAAAAATGTGCTTGTAATTAACTTAATATTAATTTGTTTTGACTCTAGTACCGATCATTGTCAATCAAGTCATTATTTGGATATATGTGGTATGTATATTCTCCTACAGGTATTTTTATATGTAGAAACTTACTTTGTTAAGATAAAACGGTCACCTTACGAAGAGGAGGGTACTGGTGCACTGAGATACAAGCTTTCGCTTAGTTCAGGTACCAGTCTCTCGCAATCTTATGAAATCTACAAATATTGTTTAAATTATAAGTTGTAACATGTAGAGAAAAATGAATAAAGTTATTATTTATTATTATTATTTATAATAACTTTAATGACAAATTGGATATGGGACCATTCAATTATTACGTAAGACTGTTTTCTTTAGTTGTTGACTCGCTCCCCCGCTTAAATAAGAAAAAATGAGAATAGCCAGATCCCTTCCGTCCTTGTATAATATTTTTTTTGTAGGAATCTAAAGGAAAAAAAATTATACACGTTTGGTTTTCAAAGTTTTTGTTTTTGTTTTGGCAGTAGGTAATAAGCTTTGGTTTTAGTCAATCATCTTTACCTTTAACCAACTACTCTTGTGGGTGGTGCGGGCCCATTGCCACGGAATGAGGGTGTTTATGAAAATTTACGTCACCAGTTGGCGCCACTGTTACGTGAGGTCTTATGTATGAAGTTTTTAATGCCAACTCCATAAACCAGATTCATCGTAGATCGTATGCGATTTGACGGATGATTAGACTTTCGTCTCAGTACTGCCACCTGGTGCCTGTCATTCCAAAAAACCCTCATTGGATTTCCAATGATGATGATTTTATTTACTTAAAGGAACGTATCCGAATGAACCTCAGTACCCCAAGCACGAACCAATATCAAATTCGAACAGTTTGCGAGCCCGAAATGTCATTATCAAATGAGGGGTATAACAGGTAGCTATTATATTATAGAATCATCAAAATCATCAGCCTCTTAATGTCCCCACTGCTGGGGCACAGGCCTTCCCTATGGATGGAATAGGGAGATTGGGCCAAGACCCAACACGCGGGCCCAGTGCGGATTGATGGGTGCTAACGACTGCAGATGCAGCCGGTACCAACGGCTTAACATGCCTTCCGAAGCACGGAGGAACTTGAGATGGAAATTTTTGGTCACCCATCCAATGACCGACCACTGCGAAAGTTGCTCAACTACAACGATCGCAGCCGAACGCGCTAACCACCTGCGCCATCGAGCTCCTCATATGAATAGTTAGCTGTCCCGTCCGCTGCCTAGTCCGCGTGGATTTTTTTCTAGTAAACTTTTCTTTAGATTTAAACATCTAGCAGTTAAATGCTTAAAAATAAATAAAAACATAGTTAGCTGTAATTATTAAAATAATCGTTTTTATTATCATTTATTTAACAAAACGGTATAATTACGCATCTGGTCAAACATTTTTTTTACAGTCCGGAGGTTTTGCGTCCGCTGAATTTGAATCCCAACTCATTTTAAATCAAAACCGACTAAAACAGTGTTCAAATAACTAAATTTATAAATTAATAACCATGCCAAAAGCTCACTGTTGGTATGTCATTCACTTTTTTACAGCTGCTGTACTATTTAATTTTATGTAATAGGGATGAAGACTATTTTTTTTTTCTTCGTTTATCAGGTAGATTATCAAAAAGTATTGGACACGTATTTTTTCTTTTTTCACATAATATAAACATTGCAGAGATATATTGATTTGAAAAGTCGCATGACGTCACTTTTTGGTGAAATTTTCAAGTGACGTCACGAGCCCCTACTCCCAAACTGTGACGCGCTATAACTTTGTCATTTTTTGG